ATGGGACAGTGGTAGGTGCTGGAGTAGTAATGGTATAGTATGGGAAATACAGCAAAGGTGTAGCTGGAGTAGGGGTACTTGTCAAAGGGCACACCAGGGTCATCTCTTCACCCGCAGAGCGCAGCCTCAAGGAGGGGCCCGAGTCCTAGGAGAAAACCAGTGTAGTTTAGGCAATTACAGTACATTTGTTCTACATCTAGGACACACAGGGTTTGACACTTCTGGCTCCATGTCAAGAAACCATGTGCAAGTGCTTCTCTTGCCTAATTGATCTAGTACATACATCAACTATGGGAGAAACTATTGCCTGCATCTCATTTGCCACTCCCTGTGGGAACATCCTTACATTCCCAAGCACAGGATTACACATGAGCATTTAGAAATTCATTTTGATGCTTCATTGTGCCAGGATTGGGTACTGAATAGAAGACTTCAGAAAACATTACATGGCCAGATTGCCAAAAAGCAGTAATGTACGAAACCATCAGTTTCAGTAGCCGACAACTGCAGGCTAGAAGCTACTGCATCTAATGAAATGCGTGCCTTGCGTTTACTGCAGCAAATTCTATGCTTACTACTTTCAGAAGGTCTGGCACCTTGTCTGTCCTGTCAAGGTTAAGCATGACCATTTCAGCCTTGTCACCACACTTGCCAGCTAACAGTGCCCCCCCCCCAGTAAACCCATTAATGATCAAGTCATCATAATGAATAGTACAGCTTACCATCAGCCCCACACAGGGTGTGGTAAAGGGAACAGTGATACGCAGCTGTCCAGGGCCTTGATCCACGTTGTAACCACATTTCCCACAGACTGCCAGCAGGGGTTCCCATGAGCCACTCACTGTAGCAACAACCCAGTAGTTAATGCTAGTGTGGGGATGCAAGGAGCCACAGCTTGCTTAACTGAGCATAAGAGACCCAGCCATGTGTTCAGTGAAACCAATGTCACACACACATGAAGCCATGCTGCAGAAATGCATCCCTGTCACCATCTTAAGCACACTTCCAATATGCATTAGCCAATACTTGGTCAAGTACCATTAATCCTCAACCAGTTTGAAAGGGGCCAGACACAGCTGACACAAAAATAAGGCTAAACTCAACTCAGTCATGAACCAGTTTTGAGCACACAAGATTAAGTCAACACCCTTGTTTTCATCCACAACCATGAACTGCATCAATTACACTTCATATGGGTTTCTGTACAGTTATAGATCTGATATTACTGCATGAGTCATGAGATACATGGGATGATTATTCAATACACACATTGTATACACATTGCCCACCCACATGCAGCATATCACATTAGATGCTACTCCACATATCCTCAAAGTGGTTCTACTTCATGCAGAGTTGAACATGCTCCAGTGGATTTCACTCACCCTTTACACTAAGCTCTTCTGCTACAGCCCCCTCCAGCATAACCACCATACTGGAGGAGCCACAGGAGATCGTGGGGGGAGAGGAGGAGGAACTCACAGGACAGGACATCATTACAGGAATCCCCCAGACGTGCAGCGGCAGGGTATAATAGCCACGCTGACGTCAAAAACAAAGAACAAGTATCATTAGAAAGCCATAGCTATGGGGAGGGGGGGGCATCATATATGGGACTACATGGCAATAACTTCACACCTGTCTGGTCACATGGCAGCCATTATAGGGAGCCACCAGTGTTACGTCTCGTCGTGCCCGTCTGACAGAGAAGCCACAGTGGGAAGGCAGCTGTGACAGGGGTACTGGTGGGGCACCATCTACAGGACAGTCACCATACCACTATAAGCCACAAAGCGATCAATAGTTGAAAATTCACCAGCGCAAATCAGACTCACCTCTGTCCACCAGCAAATGGGAAACCCTATTTCCCTTTAATTTCAAGGACATCCCATCATGTCTGCACTGCACTGACAGCCCCAACTGCTGCAGTCTCTCCTGCTGCAGTCTCTCCTGAGCACCTGCAAGACACACACTAGTAGTCACAGGATATTATGCACTATCCCAGAGACTACTAGAAATCCTCCAAATACAGCGACTATTTTAGCAACATACAATAATAAACTCCCTAATCATATAACCACTACCTTCGTAAAGAACCTGGTCCGACTGGTAGCCATGACCGTAAACCAGACTCCCGTTAGCTGCCTCGATAGTGTTGGTCGCATTCCCAGCACTGGGCGGCACCAGAGAGCTGCGGCCCATTTGTAACCTGCCGAAACCACTAATCTCCGCATTTTGGTCTCGGTTAACACTTTCCCGAATGGCTCCTCCGAGGCGAAAAGTAGGATCCACTCTGCTTGCAGTAATCATCCCATTGTTAAGTAAATAGCTGTACGTCAATATTAAAAAGTAATATAAGCCAATTACTGGCGCCATTACACGCTTACAATCTGATTCACAGGACGGCAAAAACCTCCTACCAAAACACGAAAAGGAGCTTCAAAACGCATCTTTATAAATACTGGTTTAGTCCAATTAAAATTGGCGCATGCGTTAGGCACCATTTTCACGTGTATTTTACGAAATTCCGGTAAATAGACCTCCTTCTTAACAATCACATTAAAGTTTGATTTGGCGTGACCTTTTCTTCAAGAGGTGGTCGACATTCTGTTCTTTCCCGCCGAATACTTTCGCGAACGGCACGGTTTCTCATCCCAGTCCTTCATTCATTCAGCATTTTTACGCTCCCCTGGGATTAGTAAACTTTAATTTGATGTGATGAAAGTTTATCCTATTTATTTGGACACCTCTTTTCTGCTTCTCATTCGAAGCGTCACACACCGTGGACATGCAGTCGGATCTTTACAAATGTAAAAGAGTCTATTGTATGTTACTAAAATAGTCACTGTATTTCGAGGGTTTCTAGTAGTCTCTGGGATAGTGCATGAAATGTATGTATTGTCCTCCGTTTTATTCCCGGATTTTTGTGAAAATTCACATATAATTCATAATGTCGTAAATAAAACCTGACTTAGTTTTCTTCTATCGCTGTTCTTTTTTCTTTCATGGTTATGTTCATGCATCCAATGTGTCCATAAACGGGTAAGAACTGGTAAAGGCTACAGCAACGACTGGTCATGTTTATATTTTTGTTATATTAATAAAAAGAGATGAGCATACAAACGCCACTGCAAAGTCGTATTTACCAGTTGAAGTAGGGTGACCAGATAATCCAAGATGCGTAACACAATGTCTACAGGCAGCTGCAGTTTTAGCGATAGCTCATCGCTGTCATAATTTATCGGGAAACCAAAGCACTCCCACACACCCTACCTGTATGATGATGGAGTGTGGCTTTTCCCTTATCAAACTGGAAATAACTTGCAAAGCATTAATTCACTGTTAATTGGCTGCAACCATGCCTATGCAGAAAATGCTTTTACGTCTATTTTTATAGCAAAGTTAGCTGGGCTAAAAAACTTTAAAGCAGAGATCACAGTGAGTAAAATGAATAAATCATAACCATAATAACCGCAGCTTGGCTACATGCACCAAACTGTGGATGCTAAACAAGACAGGTTGGCTTTATTCATAGAACCATTGCATCCCTAGTCCATACAATAACTTAGACATGTAGTAATTAAAATGAGCTCCTTGTGTTGTTTGATTAATAGGAACTAATCTGAAATTCTAGCTAGTTGCACTCATCAATGACAGTTTACTTAGCTTAGTTGCAATCATGAAATTATAGCTAGCTGCTGAATCCTTCTATTGTGGGTATTTCATTAGAGCCAGTCAGGAGCCGCTTATGTAGAATTCCAGTCAGTCATTACTGTATCCACGTAGGTTTCAACCAAGGCTGGAAACTACACAGATGTGTGCCCCATGTTGAATTAAACTGGTTCTTATATACTTTTCATATCCCTTTTCCAGATACTCATCACATGGGACATCCCAAGCATCATCTTTCCTGGATCAGTTGCCTCCATTTTGTTTTCTTACGAGCTTCAGGTATTCCGCATCCCTATGTGTCTCCACCACTATTTCCAGTCTTTTGGGGTCCAATTACTTCTCCGTCCCTATATGATAGGGTGACCAATCACTTCTTTTATTGGTTGAAACTTCTGGAAAACATAACTGAGGCAATACTGTCCTTACATCGTTCTTTGTATAGTTACGGCAAGAAGCCTAGAACCGTCAAAGGACATTATGGTGGTAAGCAATGAGCTCAAAACCAAGGTGTTTCTGGAATAATATGTCTAGTCTTCAGTAACAAGCCTTGGAACTTTCAGTTGGCTACATGTTGTGCAGTGCTGATTATATTTTGGCCTTCAACATAATGAAGCTACAGAGCAACTTGGGACACATTGGCCTGCATTGTCTTACAGGTTTCAAGGTTCTTTTTCTACCATGAACCTTCTCTACAGATTACATTATCTTCTGCATCTTTTAGTGTTATTCTAAGGATTATATTCTCTAAGTGATCTATAATATTCCATATTTTCTATGTATTGCCACAGTTATTACAGTATTTTTATAACTTTCCAATTTATCAAATTGTTTTTTATCTATAATCATAACTTTAATAAAAAATATTTTATGAATGGAATCATGTCTCCTTTCTCATAGTATAATGCACCTAAGTGCCTTTTTGAGTTATCAATACTGGGTCAAAATAAAGGAGAACTTGACTGCACAGGGTTTGTTTGAAATTACTGAAGGCATACATGAACCACGTGATTTCTTGGCAGAGAGATCAATTAGTGCCGCAACTCTCCAGCTCTGGTTCTGAGCTTTTGTTGCTACGTTGATTGCCTGACATTCAGTCTATGTTTGGTTTCTGGAATGGAAAGTGATCTGTTCACACTTTTAACTTGGAATGCTGCATTAAACCTGGGAGCTATACAACAAAGCAGAATTTCCAAGATTGGAAACTGTCCAATAGGAGTAGTGGTAAATGACATTTCTTTTGGATTTTCCTTACATTTTGTTTAAGTTTTCAAGGGGGTATTCCAGAAAGCAGGTTTGGGATTTATCCTGGGGGGGGGGGTCTTCAAACGTGGATTAACAAATCATCCGGATTTAATTGTTGACAATTTGACTAGATCCCGGATTTCTTGGTTTATCGAAACTCTACAGCAACCAATCCGTAAGCTCAAACATGGGGGATGTTCCATCGACACAGCAAAAGTGAAATCCCGGTTTATTTTCATAAATCTGGCTTACAGATATGAGACTTTGGTTCCATCATTGTGGCTAACAGGAACAGCTTGACAATGTGACCAAGCATGAATTTACACATTTACTTCAATTACAAAGAACATGTTATTAAAAATAAAGCATGTTAAGAAAATCATATATTGTTGCTGTCACTTCAAAACCGAATAGGTGTGTGAGTGTTTCATTATTGTATGTATATATACAGTCATATGAAAAAGTTTGGGAACCCCTCAGCCTGCATAATAAGTTACTCTACTTCCAAAAAAGATAACTGGTAAGTCTTTCATTTCCTAGGAACATCTGAGTAATGGGGTGTTTTCCGAACAAAGATTTTTAGTGAAGCAGTATTTAACTGTATGAAATCAAATGTGAAAAACTGGCTGTGCAAAAATTTGGGTACCTTTGTAATTTTGCTGATTTGAATGCATGTAATTGCTCAATACTGATTACTTGCAACACCAAATCAGCTCGTTAAGCCTTGAACTTCATAGAGAGGTGTGTCCAATCATGGGAAAAGGAATTTAAGGTGGCTAATTGCAAGTTGTGCTTCTCTTTCAGATTTAGATTCAGAATACTTTATTAATCCCTGAGGAAATTATGTGGTTACAGTTGCTTCAGGACAGTAAGAAAGTAAAACAAGTTAAAATACCAATATTAAATAATACAATATATAACAAATTACAAATAGCTCTACCTGCAAATAGCTCTACTATACTACCCAAATTACTAATATGGTGTAAATACAGTTGCTGCAGTGTACACCTGTGCTTAGATGCAGGAGTTGTACAGAGAGAGCCACAGGCAGGAATGATTTCCTGTGTCGTTCAGTGGAGCATTTGGGTAATCTTAGAACATGCTCCTGTGACTGTCCAGCACGTCATGGAGTGGGTGGGAGGTATTGTCCAGCATTGTCCTGAACTTGGACAACCTCTCCAACACCACCTTTATAGGGTCCAGCTCCATCCCCACAACATTACTGGCCTTGCGGATCAGTTTGTTGAGTCTGTTGGCATCCGCTACCCTCAGCGTGCTGCCCCAGCATGCAATAGCACTGGCCACAACAGACTCATAGAAAATCCTGAGCATTGTCCTACAGATGTTAAAAGACCTCAACCGCCTCAGAAAATAGGCCCATTTTACGCAGTGCAGTTGCGTTTTTAACACAGGTCGTTCTGTCAGGTAATCTACAATCCAAGACACTAGAGAGGCATGGTAAGCAAACTGAAGGGGGTCCAGATGTGGTCTGACCATAGGACAGAGCTGGTCAAGGATGAGTCTTTCCATGGTCTTCATGATGTGGGAAGTCAGTGCCACAGGTCTGTAGTCCGTGGGAGCCACTAGGACATTGCGCCTTTGGTACAGGAATGAGGCATGATGTTTTCCACTGTACTGGGACCCTCTGCAGCCTCAGGCTCATCATAAAGAGTTTATGAAACACTCCACAAAGCTGGGGTGGCACAGGCCTTGAGGACGCAGGGACTCACCCCGTCTGGTCCAGGAGTCTTCTCATTTGTCTCAAAACTTGGTCGTACGTGAAAGTGACAGGTGGGAGAGGGGTGTCAGGTCTTTCACAGGAGGCTATGATACAAGGAGGAGAGAGGGAGAGAGAGTGGCGTGGCTGTGGATTGCAGGCTGACTGCAGATAAGTGAGAAGGGGGATCGGCATTAACTGCAGAGTCAAATCTGTTTAACAAATTCAACTCGTTGGCTCTGTCCTCACCGCCCTCAGCCCCTCTGCTGTTGGATGGCCTGAATCCAGTGATGTATTTCATGCCTCTCCATACCTCTCTCATGCTGTTCTGCTGGAGTTTCCACTCCAGCTTTCTCCTATAGTTGTCCTTAGCGCCTCTCATCTTGCCCCTCAATAATCCCTAAACCATTCTCACCTCTGTATTGCCCTCTCTGAAGGCCCTCTTCTTGTCATTGAGGAGGGCTTTCATGTCTTTAGTTATTCATGGCTTATCAAAACAAAATCAAATTGGCTTTTATTGTCAATTCCCTATATATTCATAACATACAAGGGAATCGAAATGCTGTTCCTCTCTCATCTTTGTAATACAGTATAAAAATTAGCATATTGCATATAATGGACAATTAGTGCGGATCTGGGTGGATTTGGTGTGAGGCCGAGGCATGATACATGCAGATAAGAGGTGGACGACCCCCTTGTGACTCACAGGACAAAATGGGGTTTATTAACTGAACTAAAATGGAAAAAAGAAAAGAAAAAAAAAAGAAACACTTACAAAACAAAGGACCATGAGGGGTCAAAAGTTAATGGGGATAAACAAAGACTAATTACAAAATGGGGCAGGTAAGCATATCCAACATATCAAACTTCACAAACATTCAACAATCAACGAACCACTAGCGAACTAAACAGAGGCAGGAACTTAAATACAGAGGGTAAGAAGACTAATAAGGGGCAGGTGAGGTTAATCAACAAGGCTGGGAAAACAGGTCACAGGTGAAACTAATAATTAACTAAATTATTAGTTCATTATTAGAACTAAAATTAAGAGCTAACCAAGAAATAGGGAATTGTATGTGTCCTTGGTATTAGCATACAGTGGATCTAAAATTCTCTCCCCCCTGGTGGGACAGGCCACATATTGTGTGAAGGTTGGAAGTGTATTGTCCAAGGTAACATGGTTGAAGTCAGCTATGAAGGCACTCGGGTGCTGAGTCTGTATCCAGGCTCAAAACAGTATTACATGCAGCTGTGGGGTTAGCTGAGGGAGGAACATAAACAGCCACCAAGATCACCTGGGTAAATTCCCCAAGTCCAGCAGCACTCAGTTCAATGTCCGGGCAACAAATCTGTTCTTTGATTGATATATGAGTAGGGTTACACCACCGGTTGTTGTCAAGAACAGCAAGCCCCCCTCCTTTCTGCCTACCTCTCGCGGAGCTGTCCGTATCAGCCGGAAGAGTGTGGAAGCCTTTAACAGATGCATTATCATCGGGAATATCCTGGTTCAGCCATAATTCCGTGAAGCACAACAGGCTACACTCCTGATACACCCTCTGACTCCGGGTTAGTGCTGTTAGTTCGTCCATCTTATTAGCTAGTGATCGCACAATCCCCATTATAATAGATGAAAGACACAACTTATACCTCCTCTTCGCGGTGTGTAGCTGCTGCGCCGTGTTCCATTCCACAATGAAATTGACTCTCCTCTGAAGAGTGACAGCATGGGATCCTCAAAGCAACTCTCAAAAGAACGGAAAACAAAGATTGTTCAGTATCATGGTTTAGGGGAAGGCTACAAAAAGCTATCTCAGAGGTTTAAACTGTCAGTTTCAAGTGTAAGGACTGTAATCAGGAAATAGAAGGCCACAGGCACAGTTGCTGTTAAACCCAGATCTGGCAGGCCAAGAAAAATACAGGAGCAGCATATGTGGAGGATTGTGAGAATGGTTACAGACAACCCACAGATCACCTTCAAAGACCTGCAAGAACATCTTGTTGCAGATGGTGTATCTGTACATCGATCTACTTATTCAGCGCAATTTGCACAAAGAACATCTGTATGGCAGGGTGATGAGAAAGAAGCCCTTTCTGCACTCACGCCACAAACAGAGTCATTTGCTGTATGCAAAAGCTATTATGTTAATTATTAGCTATTAACATTATTTGGCACAAATCACAAAATGTTTTGAAGCGGAAAAATAATCGGTGTGCATCGATGTCTGGGTACTGGACATCACAATTCTGTCATTAAAAACGCCCACTTTACTTCCGTAAAGATATTAAAGCCAGAAAACTGAATATGGAATATGAGGCTAACTTAACTGCGGCGACAGGTTCCTAGTCGTTTTCTCACTACACATTTGCTTCTGCTTTGTCCTGTTGTAAATCATTTAATTGTTTGTTAAACAGTGGCTCACCTTCTATTAAGTGTCATATGAACAGACACCTTTTTATTATTAGCTGTAAAACATAGAAACACGCTATTAAGTGGAGGCTATATAGACACAACAAATCTTTCATAATGAGTAGAAATATAAATACATAGCCCTACCACTTGACATGATGTTTTATATTTCATCTTGACTTGCTGCCACGTACGCTTTACTATTGCATTTGAAATCGGATCAGTTATTGTTAACATTAGGTTCACATTATGAGTAACGTACATTACAGTAATGGAACTTCAGGGAGCATTACATTACTTAGCAGCATATACTGTAATAGGTAACTTCTGAATTGTGTCGCATGTATTAGCCTCTGTAATTATTAACAGTATTTCAATTCTTTTCAGAAAACACGTCTAATACTCGGTCGTGAGATATTTTAGACCACGTTTTATGATCGTGAAAATGTACGTATGCATTTTCTCTGTCGTCAATACGTTGCCAACAAGCCTGCCTGCTTTTGTTGGCTGCAGTGGTATTGGACTTTCTTTACAGTGTTGATTTAAACTCCTCATAACCCTGCATAATTAGCATGCAGTCTTCCTCCGTGAAACATATGGAGATCGCGCTATGAGTCAAACGGTGCCTTGCGTTGCCGAACGTGCTCCATACATGTGAACGCGCACAAACTCCAATGCAGTTAACACCGATTTAACAAATCAACTTCTTAACTGGCGTCGTAGTACTGATTAGCCCCGATGGAGTCAACATGATTTTGTTAACCTCGCGTTCGCAAATTACCTCGGGGTTAAGTCTGATTTGGTTAAACCCCCTTCGTAGTACAGGCCACAGCTCCTCTGCTGGTGTGAAATCCTCAGGCGGTCTTCTTTTTGGTAGCTAAAGTGACACATATTCAAAGAGCAACTACTATTTAAATAAATCGAACATTCCTTTATAGACTACTTACGACTTTGTAAAATGTTTTTGTATTTTATTTTTACTTGTCAAGTCTGTTTTTGCCTGTTGAGATTGAAAACGAACATGAAAATAAGACAAGATAAAATAACTGTAACCTACTGCTCGACTTAGCCCCATAGCTCTCAAAAATATCTAATTAGGGGAAGCAGGAGCAGGGAGATAGAGAAATCGGAGAACAAGGGATTTATTGAAGAGTAAGATACTCAGGAACATAGAACTACCACAAAACATGACCAGACTGGTGATACATACTTAAACGCAGACTTAAATACATAGAACTAATGACAGCAACTTGAAACAGCTGATCGCACGGGAATTCCACACGAGGTAACGCGAGGATGGGCCGAACGGGGCATGACACAGTGTGTGCAAAAATGGGTGACTGGTATTATGGATGGACGGATGGATAGACAGACAGACTGACAGAGTACGAAATTTAGGAAATAATACGATAAGCAGGTACAGAAAATGGATGGATGGAAAAATATTTCATGTTATTGCAATCCAATTGGAACCAAAAGAACTTATAATTGTCAGCAAGTTAGAATGAAACAGGCCCTAAAAACATAATTCAAAATTGTGAGTTATTAATCCCAACATTTATCTGACTGTAGATTTTAGCTAATGATTAGTATTCACTGTGGATGGATGGATGTATGGATGGATGGAATGGGGGGCATTGGAGATGTTTGTCCCCCCCCCCGGGACTTTTAACATAATCAACACTGACTTTTACATGTAATCAATGGTCTCTTCCCAGTGAGCAATGGTATTACTGGTTTAATAGATCTTACTACCGCAATAGAGATCGACTCATGCTTTTATACATGGTTGATTATTTCTCAAATGTTGCATGATATCGCTGAATGCATTACATGAATTAAACCATGTATCAAAGGATGAAGAGGAGGAGCCAAATCAGACTAGGGGAGACACGTAGAAAAGAAAAAAAAAAAACTTAGGCAATACATAAAGTTTGTAAAGATGTAAGGGCAAATCCGCGGTGGGTGATGTTTCAAATGAGAAGCTGAAAACAGGTGTTCAAATAAAAAGGATGCATTTTCATCAAATTCAAAATAAACTTTACGGATCCCAAGGGAACGCTAGGCTACTGTATAAATCATGGACGGGCATGAGAAACGGTACCGTTAGCGAAAATATTCGCCGGAAATGGAAAGGATTTCTAGCTGGAGAAGAATTTCTGGTTCTACTGTATGTCGAATTGTCGACCGCCTCTTCAAGAAAGGGTTGTGCCAAATTAAACCTTAACGTGATTCTAAAGAAGGAGGTCTATTTACCGGAATTTCGTAAAATACACGTGAAAATGTAGCCTAACGCATCCACTATTTTTAATTGGACTAAACCAGTATTTATAAAGATGCGTTTTGAAGCTCCTTTTCGTGTTTTGGTAGGAGGTTTTTGCCGTCCTGTGAATCAGATTGTAAGCGTGTAATGGCGCCAGTAATTGGCTTATATTACTTTTTAATATTGACGTACAGCTATTTACTTAACAATGGGATGATTATTGCAAGCAGAGTGGATCCTACTTTTCGCCTCGGAGGAGCTATTCAGAAAAGCGTTGCTCGAGACCGAAATGCGGAGATTAGTGGTTTCGGCAGGTTACAAATGGGCCGCAGCTCTCTGATGCCGCCCAGTGCTGGGAATGCGACCAACACTATCGAGGCAGCTAACGGGAGTCTGGTTTACGGTCATGGTTACCAGTCGGACCAGGTTCTTTACGAAGGTAGTGGTTATATGATTAGGGAGTCTATTATTGTATGTTGCTAAAATAGTCGCTGTATTTGGAGGATTTCCAGTAGTCTCTGGGATAGTGCATAATATCCTGTGACTACTAGTGTGTGTCTTGCAGGTGCTCAGGAGAGACTGCAGCAGGAGAGACTGCAGCAGTTGGGGCTGTCAGTGCAGTGCAGACATGATGGGATGTCCTTGAAATTAAAGGGAAATAGGGTTTCCCATTTGCTGGTGGACAGAGGTGAGTCTGATTTGAGCTGGTGAATTTTCAACTATTGATCGCTTTGTGGCTTATAGTGGTATGGTGACTGTCCTGTAGATGGTGCCCCACCAGTACCCCTGTCACAGCTGCCTTCCCACTGTGGCTTCTCTGTCAGACGGGCACGACGAGACGTAACACTGGTGGCTCCCTATAATGGCTGCCATGTGACCAGACAGGTGTGGAGTTATTGCCATGTAGTCCCATGATGCCCCCCCCCCTCCCCATAGCTATGGCTTTCTAATGATACTTGTTCTTTGTTTTTGACGTCAGCGTGGCTATTATACCCTGCCGCTGCACGTCTGGGGGATTCCTGTAATGATGTCCTGTCCTGTGAGTTCCTCCTCCTCCTCTCCCCCCACGATCTCCTGTGGCTCCTCCAGTATGGTGGTTATGCTGGAGGGGGCTGTAGCAGAAGAGCTTAGTGTAAAGGGTGAGTGAAATCCACTGGAGCATG